CTGCCATATAAGAGGTCTGGGGTTCAAATCCCACTGTTGATGAATTTGAATAATTACTCAGACCTTTGTATCTAACTTATGGTAAACCCTATTCGTTTCTGAGATTGTAACCCTATAAATCGTGTTGTACCAATATCAATTAGGTATTGGAAGTATAACGGAAAAGTCAAGTATGATGTAACATTATACAAATAAATCTTGATAGGATCTATGAGCAGGGGACCTGCATGGTAGAAATCCCGAGTTAGGTGATGTAGTATAGATTTCAATAGTCACACTAGTTTGATGCTTGATCCGGAGAAAATCTAGGTATGAAGAATACAGACTGAGTGGGTGCGAGTAAGTCCTTAATGTAACAGAAAAGTCAAGCGTAATGTAATGTTATATGAAAGGCAACTCCAATCTAGCTTGATAGCTAACTAGATTTGGGAGGATCTATCTCGTAAAACATTTGGAAGAACTAGACCAATTTGGTGGAGAGCTATAGAAGGAACTAGGTTTGTATGAACACCAATAAGGGTATATGCTAGCTTAATTGGGATATAGCATAGCATAGTTGGGATCATCCACAAGCCTTCACTGGAATAGGACGCAGGAGGGTACCTTGTGATAGAGCTCAGTCCTATGAAGACAATTTGAGGTACAAGTTGGTCTGAGTGGTCCTCAAATAAGGCAGCACAAGATTAATGTAAATATACAAATATTAGATTAAAAATAGAGTTTCACCATGACGCCAGAGGGTTTAAATAGAGTATCTACAGGCAGATACTAGGTATAGCAATTAGTAGGTAACCTATATGGCGAAACTTGTAAATAAATAATGACTAAAGTTATATGTGTAGCCAATTGTATCCTCACTAACAAATGTAACTTGAAATTAATACTTAATAAAAAATCTGCGGACAGCTTGTTGAAAAATAAAAAGAAAATAAGAAAAGTAATTTATCTTAAAATAGGTCTAGTGATCTAGTATAGTAGATAGATTAGACTACTATGCAATAGGTTTGGAATTCAAATCCTATTATTGATAATTTCAATAATTTCTTAAACTTTGTATTTAATTTATAGTAAACTCTGCTCATTTCTAGAAGTTACAACTCATAATAGGCTTTAGTAAGATCAGAAAATATATATTAGTAGAAAGCTATAGTAGAAACTGAAGTTGTATAAATATCTATAAGAGTCTAAGCTAGGTAAATTTAAAAAATAAGCTTAGACTGTTCTAGTAGGTATATCTTGAAATTAACTAACTCTGCAGATATTTACAATATGTTGAGTATAATGTAATCTGAAAGGATCTAAGCTGAAGTCAATAAATAGATTTATAACAAATTAGCTAGTATAAGTAGTTAGATATTATAGTGAAGTTAGTTTGTAATAATATAAGTTAGTTGAACAGAATATTTAAATAGGTAACTTACAGATAGATTACAAATATAACAACATAGTGTAATACTAACAGATAGTTTAATACTTGCATAGCAGATTATTTAAATTAGACAATAACTAAATTATATATATAGCTTGTTATATACTTTTCATATAATTATAAACTACAGGAAATTACTCATATGTAATCATATATTTATCTAATAAAATTTACTCAGCAATATAAGCTATCTTAATAACAAAAAAAAACACTATCTTGATATATAAATATACTAATTTCTCTTCTAATTAATAATATTATTTAATAATAAAAAAAAAAACTATAAACTTAACTTTAGCTTTAATTCTAACTTTAACTCTAATTTTAATTAAATTTAAATTAGTTAAAATAGTTAGTTATTTATATTATAATTTTATAATAATTATATTTGCTTATTTATACTATAGTTTAACTATAGCTTATTATATTTGCATATATAAATTAATTAAATTTATTTAAATTTATATAACTACTATTACAAGTGGTATAATCTTCTTAATATATTCTAAGTAATATAAGACACAAAAAAGAGACTCCTAACAGTGTTAAAGTAGAATATTATATTACTGTAGCAGTTTATTAGTAAAGTTTATTTTTAAAGTCAAAAAATTATATTTATTAAAGAACTAGTAGAAAACTTAGAACTTTATTGAATATTGTATTTTTGATAACAAGACTTATTAAGTACTAACTAAGAACTGTTAGAACTAATTTTATAGGAAGAAGAAAAGAAAGAGTTTATATAGCTTTTTAGAAAAGTAAGAAAAATAAAAAAAGTAAAAAAAGTAAGAAAAGTAAGAAAAGTAATAAAGTAAGAAAAGTAATAAAAGTAAGAAAAAATAAAAAAAGTAAGAAAGGTAATTTATTCTATCATTGCTTTTAAGATAACTCAATAACTACATATCTTACAGATATAAAATATAGCTTATTTGAAAGATCTAATCGAGCTGAATCTAATGATAAAATCTAAAACTAATTTTAGCTAATAATTTATTAAAAAAAACAATAATAATAAATCTAATAATATAGAAATATAATAATTAAGAAATATGCTAAAACCTATTTTATAACAATACTTTATTTTAATTAACTAATTTTTAAAAAACTATATTTAAAATAAATTTTTATATTTAATTTTTTTTAAAAAAAGTTATATTTATAATACTATGTTATATAATACTATATTATTAAATATATAATATACTAAAAACCTATACTTTTGGTCTAATTTTGTTTATATAATTATTATATATAAGGTATTATATAATATAGATATTATAAATATAATATTTTTTTTTTTAATAATTTTATTACTATTAAAATTTTTACAACTTTACTTATAAGCTAAAAAAAAAATAGTTAAATTAATAAAAAAAATTGTATTTAATAAAAATTTTAATATAGATTTAACTTAAAAAAAGTCTAAAAATTTTTTTTAAAAAAAACAATATAGTTATATTGTCTTTTACAAGTTATTTTATTATAAATATCGTTAGTTGTTTAAAAATTCTTAAAAAAGTAGTGTAGTATTATAAGGTTCGTATATTTTGTAATTTTTGGATTAATTAATTTAATAAAATTAAAAATATCGTTATCGTAATACATAACGTTAAGTTAAAAATTATATATATATATCGATATAGAATAGTTTACTACCATAAAAAAAAAAAATTTATCTAAAAAACCTTGATACTTTTGAAATAAAGGTTAGTACCAAGAAACTTATAAAAGGAAAAAAAAAATTAATGTATCCGTAAAAAATCAATTTTTTATGTATAAACTTTAACCTTGTTATTATTAGTTTTTTTTTTTTTTTTTACTTTTGCATGAGTACGTATAAAAAAAATTTTTTTATACGCGCATTTATACATAGTATATGTAAGATTTTTTTTTTTATAAAGAATTAGAGTAGATGCAGTATATTACTTTTATACCTGCCTTTTATTTATCGTTACCTTTATTTATTGTTACCTTTATTTTTTTTTTTTCTTGTATTTTTTTTTTTTTCAAAAGAAAAAAAAAAACACCTAAAATTCTTTTTAAATTCTTTTTTTAATACAGTAATAAAACTAATTATTAATTATAATAATTTTTTTGAAATTATAATTTGTTCACAACCACCTTACCAAATTAGATACCAAAGCCTACGTATTATATTCTAGGCAAAATAAGGTAAACAAAAAAATGCAAATAAATTAAAAAGTTATGTAAAAAATAAATCACAAAAAATTATACGTATCAACTAATTAATTCTTTATGCGTTATGAACAAACGAATAATGATTTCAAATAATACATTAATTATAATCAATTATTCAAAATATGACGAGACTAACTAATTATGGAATGTCATACGGGATTACATTAGAAAGATATCTAAAAGATTATTAAAAAAAAAAAAAAAAAAAACAGATTAGCGAACCGCACCACGACCAAACGATCATTGAATGAAAAAAAATTTAAAATTAGATGAAAATCATTACTACAGTATTAGTAAAATTGATAACATTTTAACAATAGATTATGAATATCGATGCATTGTGGTAATCATTTTAATATCACTGACAACACTACTCAGAGGTAAGAGTTTCATGGTATCTTGTCGATGGTAAATAAATTTAAGGTTTGGTAATTAAATATGATCCGCCATTTGCACAAAACGCCCTTGATTGTTTCATATGCTTAAATTCATGTGACAACGAGAATCTTTTTATGGTTTGATGCTTCCTTTTTCCTAAACCAAAAAAAAAACTGAATGATTATATAAAAGTGGTTGAACGGCGGTGCGTGAGACTTTGGTGAAATTTAAACATAGAATGTAAGTTCCAATTTCGAAAAAAATAACGAAATTAGAAAACATGTGTTATTTTTAATAACTTTATAAGGAAAAATTTGAAAAAAAAAATAATGAAAGAAACAATAAAAAATTCGACGAAATTAAGTAATATTCTTATTGGGAAGTCTGAAAAAGTAAACCTAGCAAATAAATCAAATCATCTGATTAAATTCGAGTGTAACGAAACCGAATGACGTTAAGGAAAAACAGGTACGTAACAAGCCTGGCGTAAAATTTTTGTGAGACGGTACGCCCAGACTCTTATTCGCGTCACTGTTTATGCACTCTAAAAATGGTTCTCTAAAATTAATCCCAATATATCATAAATCAACACATGCGTGTAACAAACTTTTTTTTATGCAATTAAGCGTATTTGTGTGAATGGCCTTTGCTTTGTGTCAATTGATTCTCATTTGTGATTTAAATAAAATATTCGTAATCATGTTACATTTAATTGATCAAGAACTTTAAGTACGCACGTATGTATCTGCAAGACTGTTGTGATATCATTAAAAAAAAGAAAAAAAGATCAAATGCGAATCAGATAAAAGAATCCTCGGCATAGGTTGAAAGAAGAGGGGGGATAAGAATTTTTTTTACGTATTATTTATTAGAAAGAGTGCACACAATATGCGCACATTTATTGATTGAATGATTGTGTAAAATTTTTTAGATAACAAAGCGCAAAATAATAACATTCTTTTTTTGTACAATTTGGTAGAAAAAAAATTTTTTTTTAAGTAGGACACTTATTATCCTCTCTTATTTAAATAAAATGAAACGTGTAAATATCGAGTTCTCTGATTCATTGACATTTTGTTTAATTTAAACGAAAACCGAGTCTTTGGTCTTTCTACACAAATTACCTAATATGTAATTCATTCATTCAAAATTGCCTTTTTTAGCTATCCTTGATCTCATAAATCACGAGCGTTTGACGTCATCATGTATTCGTCATTCGCGACTGAGTTCTTACGTGACATATAGTACGTGCTTGTTTATGTATCTGACATCAGGTGTGTACATACGTATGTACAGTATGTATGTGTACATATGTATGTATGTATGTATGTATGTAACATAAGTACGTACCTACGTATCAGGTATGATACATGCATGTACTGTACTTGGTACGTACGTACTGTACGTATCTGGTATGTTGAATGTACTGTACATACCAGGTGTACCAGGTACGAACTTTGGTTTTATAATCCATGTTTAAAAAAAAAACTGGATTTTTAAGATGAATTCAAGAGTGTCATGATTCTGTAATCAAAGCCTCACCGTTTTAAGTTACCAAGCCTCATAATTTTCAACATGATCCAGATTTCATAAAAACTAGAATTTCATTTAAAAAGTATATAACAGATTTAACAAAATTCTATTAAAAAAATAAAATAATAAAAATTCACGTTTTGTCTGTGATTAGAATGAAAAACTTTTAACAATTTTTTTTTTTTTAATAGAGTCACCTTCCATTTATTATTATTTTACTTGATTTATTACCTGTTGAAAAACCTGTCAATTAAAGTTGTTGTTTAGAATTCCCGATATTAGAATTATTAGGTAATAACTTTTTCTCCTCGGTAAACTGATGATCATCGATCACGAGGAAAGGGGGAATATAATTGATTACAGTTAATTTTTAATTTTTTTCAATTGTTGATCTAGTAAAGAAAAAAAATATATATATTTAACGTCTTACACTGTTTAACCCCTCGAAGATTTTAAAATTTTTTTTTTTACAAGACTAGATCGGTTTTGCATGGGAACACGTAAACATTAATAAATGAATCGATCGATCGAACGTCATTATAACCATTATTTAAAAAAAAAATTTTTTTTTTTTTTATGAATTTTACATAACAAAGATAACGAATTTTTTTTTTTTTTTTTTTTATAGATTATTAAATAAATAAATAAAATCAAGAGTTTTACACGTAAGAATCGATTTCGAATAAAGATAATGATAAAAAAACGATAATGATAAGAGATAAGTAATTTTTTTTTTTTTTTAAAAAAAAAAAAATTCGATTCTTTTTTTTTCATTGAAATTATAAAAAATATACTTAAAAATGATCACACGCATTTTTTTTTTTCCTTTAAATTACAGATTAAAAGCCAGAAAAAAAAATTTATATATTACATACTATAACAGGAAATTTAACAATGCTCTTATCCAAAAGGGGTTTATATATGTATATATGTAAATATAAAGACTAAAAAAAAAAATTAAAATGTTGGTTTGTATATAAATGAAAAATTAAAAAAAAAGAGAATTAGGATAAGAGCGAGTGATATAAAAAAAAAAAAAGATACAGAGAAAAAAAAAAAAAAAAAAAAAAAAGAAAAAAAAAGTCTTTAAAAAAACTAAATTTAAGTAACATAGGGTATTAGCTAGCGGAATGTTCAAATGCTTATGGGGTTTTGAATTTACTTGTATGTGATTCCTGAAATTATATATATATATGCTAGCTAAAGACATATTTGCTGATTATATATATGTATGTATATATATATATGATTTTTTTTTTAAATAAATATGCATATATATAATACGAGACATGGAGATGTACACAAAATTTGTGCAAGAATCGTAAAAAAAATAATAATAATAAAAATGACATAAATTGAAATAAAAAACCAAAAATCACCTACGAATTATAAACCAAATATTTTCGTTCACATGTTGCCTTATTTACATAACGACAATGCACGATAAAGATATTTTATAATTTTTTTTTTTTTTTTTTTTTTTTTTTGTCACGAGTGTAAATATATATAAAAGGTCTCCAAAAATATATATATAAAAAAAAAAAAATAAAAAGAAAGCCAAAAAATTGACCACAAAAAAAAAACATCAACCACATGAAATGAATTCCTCCTACAATCATAGTAATGTCGAACATTTACAACAACGCTTGAGATCGGGCGAATCTCCATTCTTTGGTTTTTTGAACATCGCGTTATATTCAGACTTAAGTGGAATATACCGACATTCCGAATTTGTGCAGACACATTTCGTCTTTTTATATCTATAAAATATATAGAATATTAAATATATAAAATATTAATATAAATATTAAATACTGTAAATATTAAATATTATGATTAACGAAAAAATTACATAATAATAATAATAATAATAATAAATTTACCTTAATCCACAACTATTACACAAGAAAAGATCTGGACGCCAGCCAGGTCTCCAACATGGTGTACTACGTGTTCTACAACTTGCACAAACTTTAGTTTTATTACCTGATTCTCTACGATGTGTCATATGTAATGTTGATGATGATGATGAATTAGGATAACATTTAGAAGGTAAATGTTCACCTTTACGTTTTTTTGTTGAAGGTGCAAAATCTGGATCATCTTCATCATCACCAAAATTATCAGAGTTAAGATCATAATCACTTAATTCTGATGTAGGAATTGATGATAAAGAAGATACTGAAATTGAAGCTCTACGTTGATTAGATGTTCGATAATAAGATAATGAATTATTATGTGTAGATGTTCGACTTAATTGTTTATCACCATTAATACTATTATTACCACCATTTAATGAAATTTGATTTGATCTAGACATTTGTGAATTTGTAAATGTTGTCATGAATTTTTGATTTCCATTAATTGTTGTGGTACGACGTGATGAATTAATCACGGGATCTTCACCATTTTTAATTGATCCATTACTATCAGGTGAATCAATAATATGATCTAATCCAGTTAATTTAAGTAATTCTAATTCTTGACTTTCTCTTTTATTCTTTGCTCTAGTAAGTGGTCTAGTTCTCATTTTAGTTCTTCTAGCTTGAGAAATTGATTTAATAATATCAGGTAATAATAGAGGTCTATGAATAATAATTGCTGAAGGACCGATTATCTTATCTTGAGGCATTGAAATAGAATCTTTAGAAATAACACCATTAATTTGATCACCATTATTCATCATAATAATATCATCATTATCAGTATTAGGAATTTTTTGTTGTAAAGGAATAGTGGATGATGTAATAATAGTATTTTTTGTAATATTTGTAGTAGTAGTAGTAGTAGTAGTAGTAATAATATTTGTAGAAGAAATATTTTTGGAGGAAGTATTTTTGAAAGTATTTGTATTATTAGGGAATAATACAGGAAAACAAAAAACCATACCAGGATCACTTTCTAAATCTTCACGATTAGGGGATCTAAGAGGTATACCTTTTCGTTTTCGTTTAGATGAAGTAAATGAAGTAATTGTACTACTAGTACTAATAGTAGAATCAACTGATTTTGTAGAGTCATTAACAGTTGAAGAGGAAGAATCAGCACAAGGTGAAGAAGATCTCACCGAAGTAGAACAAGATGATAAAGAATAAGAATCAGGAATTTTGATTTGATGAACAGCAGCAACCTGAGGGATGAAAGTGGATAGACAAGAATTATGTATAAGATATCTAGAACCGGATTGAGCAACGGATTCAGGACTCGTTGGAGAAGATGGTTCATCTGAACCATCAGTATTATCGTGTACCGAAGGAGGAGCGGTTAAAGGAAATTGATCAATTGGATCAACTTGACTTGAATCCTTTTCATTATCAATTTCCAAAAGATTATCAAAAGAATCTTGAGCCGGAGGAGTCAGCATACCAAAATCTGACGACATAATAATTATATTCACGTGAACTATTTGAGAAAGAACGGATCAACGATCAGTAATTTTGTCGGAGACATAATCAGATCATAGGTAATGGATAAAGTAACAAAGTCTAATTAACACGCAATCGACCATCTAAAAGCGGAATCAGACGGATCGGGCAGATCGAATTCGTAAATCAGAACTAGCCGAGACGTAGGAAGAAATAACGAAATAATATCGAAGGGGCTCGAAGAAAATCAAAGTTGATAGCATTTATCGGGATCACGATTCGAATAAATGTTTTTTTTTTTTTTTTTTTTAAAAAAAAAAAAAAAATTAAATTGACGTACACTTTCTAAACAGTTGGTTTTTTTCAGAAATAATAATATATATAAATGGACTAAAGTATTTAA